CAATTTAAATTATAAATCATAAAATAATAAAAGAAATCTTGTGAGTTTGCCATGCCTAATATTGACAGGTAAGTTAAAATGTATTTTTAACCATTTGTCTCGGTGATAAAACAAATAATTTTTTTCTTCCAATTCAACTTTTTCATGTGTATTATGCTAAATCTTAAACATATCAAATAGCTTACAATTAATTTCTCTTTCTTACATGAAGTTTGTATATTTTTTTACGTCCGTTCGAGCAAAATAAAAGTAACTTTTGTTCACAACTAAATCCTTCACTGCTGTTGACAGGATAAACTGCTGACTGAGGTGGTACAACGATTCAATGCTAGGAATTGGAAAGAAATAGGTGAGTTTGCATCTTGCTTCTCCGTTGCTCCCTATTGCGTTTAGATGGCTTTCTTTTATCTAATAATTTAGAATCTGGAAAAATACAGAGGCAGCTGAATGGCAAATAGCAATTAAGCCACCGTTTGTGGTCATTTATGTTGTATCTGCTTCAATTCCATTATCTAATAATTTAGAATCTGGAAAAAAACGGATGCAGCTTACCTTATACAGTTTTGTTAGCACTGGACCCCTAGGAAGAGAAGCCAATAATGGAACTCGTTCCCTAATCCATTTCTCCATGCCCAAAGTTCTTATAGCATTTGCTTCTTGAAAAGACAGTGAACCCAAAAAAGTGCAGAAGATGAGTAGTTTTAATAGAACCCAATCAACAAATCTTTGAATTGAGAATAAAACTTGTACTTTTCTGTAAGTTAAGTATAAGCAGAAAAGTTGGTGAATATTTGAATGATCAAACTCTAAAAGTTGGTGAATATTTATAGGAAGTTCAAAGTTTGTTTTTCACATAGAAATTATTATTTTTACTTTGAATTGACCTATGTATTTTGTCAGTTTTAGTTCTAAAAACCGGACCCTACCGTAGTGTAAGTTTGAAAGTATGCATTCTACATTCAATATCAAAGGCAAGAAATTTTTGAATGCTCCAATATTAATAATATAAAGGTTGAGAAATGGTGTTTTTAATAGCCTAATTTGACATATATATTCCACATTTAATAAATGGTGGTTGTAATAGCAAGTTAGATAATGGTGGCTGTAATAGCAAGTTAGTTTTACTATGTATTCAATTGAGACTTTTAATGATTTTTTGGGATTTAAAAAGTTTAGAGGTATTCAATGTAGACTTTTGGAGACTGTCTAAATGGTCGGATTGATGGTTTGATTCCTAATCAATGGCAAATGGCCAGTTCTGATCTGCCCTTGGTCAGGAATATGGATAGTAATGGCTATCTGCATTACATCCCGGAGTATCCAAATCTGGCACATGGCATCAATGGCTATACAGTATTCCAGC